AGCAGTCTTCAGCACTGTGCAGGGCCTAGATGTCTAAGATCTAGTATTTCTCCTTCTCAAAACTAGTGTTTATATCATCCAATTTAGCCAGGGATAGTTATCAGATTTTTGTTGTCACTCTCCCTCATTCTCCTTCCCCCACCTCCTATCTAACACAGAGAACACAGTTCCGTAATAAATGAAATCAGATGGAGAAGACTCAGCATGAGAAACCCTCTCCCTTTCTTTTTTTTTGGTACCGGGGATCAAACTCAGTATCTTGAGCTTGCGAGGCAGGCGGCAAAACCACTGAGCTAAATCCCCAGGCCCTCTCTCCCTTTCTTTATGGGCTCCTTTGTGCTCTATTCCTATCTACACAATTGCACCAGGTAGAAACTTAGATGTCACCCACCCTAAGTCCTTCCTTACCCTACAAACCAACAAACATTTGATTGCCTTATCACTCAATTCCACTGTTTCCTACATATATATAATACACTACCATAACCTTCATACAAAACACCATCACTTCAGGCCTGCATTACTCCACCCAGCCTAACTGGTCTCTACCCATGATGCTCTAGCTCTTGGTCCACTGCCATAACAGATAGCCAGAAATATCCTTCTAAGACAGTCACGGACTCCTTCCCTTGGGATATGGTCTGAAGTCTTCCAGAGGAGCAACAAGGTTCTTTTGTGATTGGATCTTTGCTTAACTTGCCAGTCTTCTCCCTCATCACACCCATTCACCTGATGCTTTATGCTTCGCCCAGGAAATCTTGAGAAATTTATTTAACCCCTCTGGGCCTATTTCCTCACCAACAGGATGAGAACAACTGCACCTACCTATCAGGGTGGTTATAGGAAGAAATGAGTTATTACATTTAAATGCTTAGAATAGTAACCGACAGATACGGTAAATGGCCAAAGGTCTCACCTATCATCACCATCACTGGACTTGTGTAGTTCCTTCTGCCCAGAACAGTCTTAACTATGCCTCCTTCCTGGCTCTTCTTTTCCTAATTTTTTTAAAGTCCAGGCTTGGTCAATTTCTCCAAGGAAGCTTTCCCTGACCCTCCGATGCTAGGTCAGATCCCATTCCTCCATACTTTTATGATGCCTGTCTTTGTCACAACCCTTCTCACATGTCTGTTTCCTTGCCTATCTTCCCCACTAGGCTGTATGCATCCAAATTCCCAAGATTAGTACATGCTGGCAGATGGTTTTAAATTGTTCAGTGAATGGAATACTTTCCAATAATGAATGACATGTCCGATGAAACAGTCTCAAGTAGTCTCAAGTAGTCAATTCAAATGTTGGCCAGGTGGTCTAAATGACTTTATGGCCCTTCAACTACAAGATTCTACCTAATTAACAATTCAACACTCTGACTTCAGTGGTTTGGACTTTAATATGTAGGCAATGTGAGCCATCAGAGTTTTAAGGAGAGCATGGACATGGATATGAACATGAGGGTAGGGAGTGTTCTAGAGATAAGGTATAGTCCCCATCTCCAGAATACTCCCTACCCTCAATCATGTTGTCATGTGGACAAAATCCAAGCACCTTTCATAAACATACACAATTCACCCACCCCAAACACCCACACATAGAAACAGTCAAACCAAAGAGAACTTTGAAAGGCTAAATGCATCATCTAACTCTATCCTATACACTTACAAGCAGTAAGAATTGATAAATACCCTCTAAGAACCTAAATGTTAATCCTTCCTATGTAACTTTATGGAAAGAAAACCCAGAGGAGTGTGTCATAAAGTTAATCCACATAACCAGCCTCTGTAGTCTGATCCAAGTTGCTGTCACAGCACTGCTATTCTTGATCACTGCAGCCCCATATGCTCAAACCCTGGTCAGAAAAGCAGGTGCAAACAAACAAGGTAAAGGTGGGGAACTGTCTGGTGTCTATTTCAAGAGTAGGAGGTCTCTTCTGAAGATATAGCTGGGAGCTAGTACAAATCCAGGAAAGGCTTCAGCAATAAGAAACTTCAATCCACAGAAGGGGAAAAAAAGAAGAGAAAGCTTTCAGAGACAGAACCAAGCCTAGATTCATGCTCTGGGGCTTCATGCCACACCCTACTGAAGATGAGGACGAATAATCACTTTGCATTTACAGAGCACTCTGAGATGAAGGCACTGAGTACCAGCTCTGTCAGTCACAAAAAGCCAAATATTGTATGATTTCACTTATGTGAGATTCCTAAAGTAGACAAATTCACAGACAGAAATTAGAATGGTGGTTGCCAGGGGATAAGGCAAAAGGGAAGGGGAATTACTGGGCGTTCTGGAGATAGATGGTAGTGATGGATGTACAACACTGTGAATGCACTTAATGCTACATAACTGTACATTTAAGAAGTTAAATTAATAAATGAAATATATGTATGTATATAAAACTCCACAACTTTAAAAAGTAAGCTACTTTTAAATTTATACTGTCTGCAGTTTGAATCCCGGTTTGGCTATGTAACAAGCAAGTCATATTAACTTCTCTGTCTTCTTCTATAATGATAATACCTAATTAATAGGTTGCTCTGAGTTAAATGACATACTCCATTGAAGGTCCTCATTCCAGTGACTGATGTTAATAAACACTGGCCATTTTTACTACAACAATACACTTTCTCACTGTCCCCACAACAATCCTGTGTGAGATTACAGATAAGGAAAATGAGGCCATGAGGCCCAGAAGTCCACACTGAATAGCGCAGTTCAAGATGCCACACCAAACCCTCTACCCATGAGCCGTCTTGTACTCTACATTTATTAATTCTATGATGGAAGGCAAGTGCCCTAATCTTGCTATGTTTCCACTGCCATATAGTACACAGAGAGACATAAGCCAAGCCCTAGCCTCTGCAAATTCCCCTGCACAACTAGATTAAAAATCAGGTAACCGGGCCAGGGATTTAGCTCAGTGGTTTCACCGCTTGCTGCGCAAGTGCAAGGACCCGAGTTCGATCCCCCTCCCCCAAAAATAAAAATCAGGTAACCTACACAACTAGATTAAAGATCAAATAATGGTTACAGAAGAGTACTGTAAATTATAAATATAAAAAGTGAGAACTTACAAAAACTGGTACACCTGTGCACAAAACCTGGCTTCTTTTTAATGTTAAATGTGAGGCACAAGAAGTGGCTGGGACTATACAATCTCCTTTAGATTTCCAATTACGCAGGATTCCTGATCTTAAACCCTAAGTAAGTGGTTTAGTGCCATTTTAAAGGTGGCAAGGTATGGGAGAAATAATTACCAGACTGGAAGAAGACTGGGAATTCCTGTTCTGTTGACACTAAGCAATCTGTGAATCTGACAACTTACTTTCCTTTCCAAGGTTCAGTCAACAGGAAAAGGGGGGGAAGGCAGATACTAAAGCTGGACCAGATAGTTGGTAAGACCCTTTCAACCTCCTATATGCCACCACTCCTAAATATAAATCTAGACTCTTGGAAGGTGGAGGGAGCAAGAGCAGACCTACCAGCTCCAAATAGTTAATGCAAACATTAGCAGACTCAAGACCTGGCTGAAGAACTCTTATTTTTAGACATTCCTCAGAACCAGGATCAAACACACTGAAAGAGTGGCAAAGCTAATTTTAGTTTACTTTAACTCCTCTGGGCCTTATCTGAAAATAGGAAAAACAAAAACTATTTGAAGGCATCAAGTAGAAGAAGATGATTTGAGCTATACTGTGACACCCCCCCCATACAAAACAACAAAGAGAACATGCGAGGTTTGGAGGAGGAACATGCTATGAACAAAATACAGGATCAATTTCACTGTTTATAAAGAATTAAGTGTTCCTTGAGCCAAAGGCCAGATAATTTCAGTTGTGTCTGAGATATGGAGTCTCCTCTATTCATCAACCTGTAAGGGAAATACCAGCAAGAAATTCATCCGAACTTCCTTTCCCTTGAAGCCCTGGTAGTCCCAGAATGAAACTTCATCCATAATACAGGGGACATTGGCCCAGGAGTCAGAGAGAAGCCAGAGTCTCTAACTAAATGGGAAAATGTTACCTAAAGGTAAATCCAAACACTCCCTATGCTAAGTGATGACACATACACCAGAAAATATAAATATAAAATATAAATAACCACTGCTTTGCACTTCTTTGGCTACTGCGAGTTGGAGCAAATTATTTAACCTCTCTGCACCTTGATTTCGGCTTTTGTAAATGGGGGCAATTGTAGAAAGCCGCTGTGAGCATTAAATGATAGTCTTATCAAGTTCCTCAGTCTTATTAAATGTTACCTGTTGGTTTTAACCGCTTCTCTCACATATAAGTTCTCTCCCTGAATTCGCGAACACCCTGTGAGATTAGTTTTTCTTTATCCCGTTTCAAAGTGGGGCAAATTAAGACTTGGATGCGAAGGGTCTGGGTGAAGTGGGGAATACGACCCGAGCTCGAGGGCCTGTTGTTCCTCTCCGAGATCAAGGTGTGCCACGAGCCCAGGACCGACAGAGGCGGGGGCTGAGGCGCTCTGGCCCGCAGGGAGCGAAGACAGCAGCAGTTTTGCACGCCTTGGGGAGAGAACAGCCCCAGGCAAGGCGGGAGAGCCGGAAGAAGCCCTGGGCCCGCGCAGGAACGGGGCCGGGCCCGCCCGAGGCCTCCCGGCGCAGCCTCCGCTCTCCTCCCTCCTCCCCTCGCCGGGCGGGGCGGGGCACGAGCACAAAAGACTCCAACTTCCGAGCGGGCGCGGGCCCACCCCGCCAACTCCTGGCCCAGGCCCGGTCCGCGTTTAGGAAGCCTGCACCAAATGCCCGGGGAGCTGGGAGCGAGCACTGCTGGGCCGGGGCAGGGGACGGAAGGCAGTGAACCCAGGAGGGAGGAGCAGAGGGGGAGGGGGCCTGGAGTTACTCTGGCTCCCAAGACTTCCCGAATGGCCAAAAAAAGAGTTTCTAAAAATAGGCAGCGGCCAGCCTGAAGATGTGGGCGACCCAGAAGACACCAGGAACACCCCCACACACCCCTAAGGAGGCGCCCGCGGCCCCCACTTACCGGTGCCGAAAGGTCTGGAGGAAGCCGCGCGACTCCGAAGGCGGTGCCACCGCACTCGGGCGGAAGGGAAGGAGGGGTTAAAAGGTGGCCCCGACTGCAGCTTGAGGAGGCTGAACACGCGCGCCAGTCGCCACCGCTACCACCCACTCAGCTCCTCTCCGCTTTGCGCCCCGCGCCGCGCCGCTCGCGCGCCCAGCCGCACTGACAGCGGCGCGAGCCCCGCAGCCGCGAGTCCTTCCCTTGGCCGGCACCACTCAGGTGCGCGGGGGTGGGGGCGCCCAGAGCAGCTTCCCTCCGCTGGTGCCGCCTGTCGTCCTGACACCAGCTTTTCCCCTCACCTCGCCTCTTGTCTCCCGCGAAGGACCCGGAGACACAACCTGAAGAGTCCTCAGCCCCGCCCTTACCCAGCTCGGCTTCCCAGGAGTGCGGGCCCTCCCCACCCCCAGAGCCTGGCTTTGGAAAGGCCCAGAGCTTGGGCGCGGAGAGCAGGGAGGAGGGGCAGGGGCGGGGTCTGGCAGGAGGGAGGGACAGAGGTGGGAGGCGGGGCTAGAGGAGGGATGAGAGTTGCTTTCACCAGTATGGATCTGGGGGCGGGGCGGGTGAGAGGGTGGTGGTGCCAAGGGAAAAAGGACGCTCGACAGATGTAGAAGGCGTTGGAGGCCTCAGAGAGCCCGGAGCCGGGGCAGGGCTCGAAAGAAGGAGGGGATGTAGGCGGGGCTACAGGGGGAACATGCCTGGAGGAGGCGGACCCGGAAGCACAGCAGGGAGGAGGGGGACTAGGATAGCCACTCTGGGGAGGAGCCGGAAGGAGGCGGGCCCCGCAGGAGGGCCGAGTGGGTGGTGCTTGAGGTGGGCGAGGCCTGAAGACAGCACCCAAAACTGTAGTCTAGGGGCAGTGCCAGAGCGAACCGGGAGAGGCGAGAAGTATCTGGATCTTGAGCTGAGTGACTGTCTTCCCTAGCTGCCAAAGCGGAGACTGAGCAGAGGCTGCAGTGAGGGTGGTCTGGGGAGGAGGTGCCACTCTTCCTCCAAAAAATATGATAAATAAGGTTGGTTATATTCAAATAGCTTTACCTTTGTGGGGTGCAGAAGATGTCTTATTTGTTGATCTTGGTAGTAGGCCTTCCTCCTAAACATTTCTCCTGTTGGAGTCTCACACTTGAATCAGTGTTCCAACCTCTAGGGTCTCCCACTATCACCAGCTGCATGGGTCCTTGTTTTTGGTAATAATAGAAGTAAAAACTACACAAATTTGCAGGAAAAAGCTATAATTAGAAAGTAAGAGAAAATAGTAAGGGGCTTTAGTTGAAGAATCTGACAAAGATCAGGCCAGGGCTCAACAAAGAGAGTAAGAAAAATGGGAAAGGATACCCTGTGATGAAGGGGATCAGACTGACCCACTGCAAAGGCAGGAGGCCAGCTTTTAAGGATTGATTAGCTGGTGAGCTGAGGCCCAGATGATCGTTATCTCTGTACTGGTTTCAGCTCTGGAATCCTCATGGCTGAGGAATGGTTTGTTCCCATGATAAGATTGTCTGGGTTTGTTGTGGTTTCACGTGGGGCTCTGCTTTTTCTGGTATCCAGGTGATAACAGGTTTAGATTTCTGGGTTTTAAAGGCCCTATAAATCCATTATCTTGATGTCCTCAGTATTGAGGGGAGATGTAAATTCAGGGCCAATGAACCTGCAGCCAACTTTTAGGTAGACACTCCTTAAATGATTAACATACCTATATAAAGATTAAGAGATTTGACCAGAAGCTTTAAGCTAACAAAGGGTACAAAATGAAAGTGCTTTTAGTTACCTATTGTGAGTCTGTAGGTAAGAGTCACAGTTTTTAGCAAAAAAAATGTACTTTTAATAAGTAACAAGCTAAGGGCCCAGGAATCCGACGGTCCTGTCCCTATAGAGATCTATGAATCTCTCTCACTCTCTCTCTCTCTCTCACTCTCTCTCTCTTTCTCTCTCCTCCAAAATAGCCAGAGGAACCTCTGAGAGTAAGGGAGGACCAGTGCTGTCAGCTGTCAAATTTTCCACCGCCTCTTCCCACCTGTGATTTCATGATTGTATTCATGTCACTCCTCCCAGAACCTGCCTGAGAGACAGGATTCTCAAGAATGCAGCAGAGTTTGAGCTGAGAGTCCTGTCTCTGCCAGACCAGCAGTAATAACTACTTTTCTGTTGTTTAACAACCTACCGCTTCTCGGCCTTTTGGCTAAGATCAAGTGCAAAACGAAGAGAGATAGTGACATTAGAGAGCAAGACCTGGAACATTCTTCCCCCAAATCTCTGTCTAAATCACACCTTTGAGAGGTCTTCCTTAAACTCCCCCACCTAACAGTTTGGTCTCTTGTTCTGTCATTTATTTGTCAATTTATGTGTTTTTGTCTGTCTCTCCCACTAGAATGGTTCTATGCATAGAAATAGAAAGTTCTATGAGACCTTTTTTTCTTTGTTCTTTTTTTTTTCTCCAGTAGTGAGGATTGAACCCATGGCCTTCACACTGAGCTACATCCCATCCTCAGCTATTTTTTTATTTTTAATTTTGAGACAGGGTCTCAATAAGTTGCTAAGTTGCCCGGCCTGTGCTATGACTTGTCCTCTTGCCTAGCCTTCCAGGGTGCACTGCCATGCCCAACAAAACCAGGAATTTTTGACTGTTGTGTGCACCGCTATGTTCCCAAACATTGTGCAATGTCTGGCACAAACTTGTTCAGTAAATACTTGAATGAGTGAATCAATCAGTTAATCCAGCCCCTACCAACCTCTTCTGCTGTCTTTCCGGCCACTCTTCACCTCCTTCCCTATCCCTTCCCTTACCATATTTACTTAAATATACCACAATCATTTTCATTATTTGGATTGCTCCTGCCTGTCCGCTCACATATTTCCAGTTCATCCTTTAACATTCAGTTCCTCGGGGAAGCTTTCTTTAATCTCCTTTCAGGCCCACCATCAGGAAGTTGAAACTCATCCTGTTCTGTTCATAGCCTCTGTTAGAAAATTTGTCTGTGCAGATGGTATCCTGTTGCCTGCCTGCACTGAGGATTATGTTCATGTTCTGCCAGGTCCTGTGTGACCTGCTATCCTTCTGAATCGGTCTCCTATAACTCTCCTACTCTCCCACAGCCACATTTTGGCCTCCTTCGTGCTCATTATTAACAGGCCAAGCATACTACTGCCTCAGGGCCTTTACATTTGTCGTCTCTGCCTCAAATTCTCTTCTCCCAAATATTGATGTGGCTCATTCATTACCTTCATGTCTCAGCTCAAATATTACTTCCTCTGAGAGGCCTTTCCTGGCCCACATTTAAAATAGCAGCATCCCACTCTGTACTTCTCCATACCCAATCCTGCTGGAGTTTTCTCCACAGCATTCTCACCACCTGAAATATACTCATATGTATTTATTGTCTCTCTCCCATCCTCACTTTCCACTACAGTGTGATCTCACCAGGGCAGGATATTGTCTGTTTTGCTCTTTCTTCATGCCTAAAACAGTAGGCCCTCATTTAATGTTTGTTGAAAGATTGACTGCAAATTCAACAGAGAAAGGTACGGAAGACTTGTCTAGAATACTCTCAAAAGCTTATCATATGAACAGAAATGTTTTTAAGGAAATGTGCTGGCATCACTAGCTAACATTTATGGAGTATTTGCTAGTTGCCAGGCAGTATGTTGAGTCCTTTTCAGGCTTATCTAGTTCCAACAGCCTTATGAAAGAGATACTATTATAATCCCTCTTGTACAGATGAGGAAACTTTCACAAAGAGGTAACTTTACCACTGTTGTTTAGCTAGTCTAGAGTCCAACCACTACATCACTATCTTGCCTCCTAATTATTAAGGGCCTAGGGCTGTTGGTCCAATAAAAGTGAGAAAAGAGGAAGAAATATTTTATTTTCTGGATAGTATAGTGTAGTATGATGCCTACAACTTTTGTTTTAGCTGTCATGAGGGAAGCTGGCTGGAAGACACAACTTGATTGAGGTTTTGGAGCAGGATAGGAAAATATTACAGATAAGTGGAGCCAGAGACCTGATGAAGCTATTTCTGAAGTTTGACCCACCTCCAGACATGTGAACCAATACATCTTTATCATTTATTCATGGGTTTTATAACATGTAACTATTATGGTTTAGATCTAAAATGTCCCACAGAATTCTCATGGGTGTGCAAGGTGACTAGATCATGGAGTGCTATACTCAGCAGTGGATTCATCCATTGATGAGTTCAGCAGCTGAAGGTGTTAGGAAGTGGGGCCTGATTAGAGGTGGGTCCCTGGGAGGTGTGACCTGGAAGGGTATATTCTTGTCCCCACTCCTCCCTTCTTTCTCTGGCTTCCTGGATGCCCAGGATTGAGCACCTTTTCCTCCACCATGCCCCTCTGCCATCCTATTTCTGCCTTGGAGCCAGCTGCAAGGACTGAAACTGTGAACTAAAATAAACCTCTCCTTCCTTAAGTTGTGGGTGTAGGGTATTGTATTGTGTCTCAGTAATGCAAAAGCGACCAAGACACTAAGAGATGAGTAGGGCTCAGCGGGTGGAGATATTTTTGCCTCACATTTTTATGAGAGGTTTGTTTACAGAATGCTGTGACATATTGCAGGTGGGACAGCAAACATAAAGACAGGAATGTAAGAGATCGGGGTTTCTGGAGAGTAAGGTGTGAATTAAGGAAAGAAAATGTAAATGTAAAAGGCTAGAACTAGGAACTGGTTTCTGCTCAATATTGAGAATCATTGAAAGGTTTTTTTGAACAGAGGTTGCTTTAAAATGATAAAGTATCAAGGTTGGAAGAACATTTAAAAGTAATCTGATTCAACTGTTTTGTTTTGTTTTGTTTTGTTCCTTTTGGGTTTTTGAGACAGGGTCTCACTATGCAGTTCAGGCTGGCCTTGAACTCACTATGTAGCCCAAGCTGGTCTCAAACTCTCCACAGTCCTCCTGCCTCAGCCTCCCGAGTGCTAGGATTACAGGTATATGCCGCCACACCCGGTATTCAACTGCACTTTTAATTCTCTCAACAATCCTACAAAGTCAGTTTTGGTTTTGTTCCCCTTTCATGGTGAAGAAATGTGACATGGCCAATGTCTCGAAGATGGTAGGTGAAGGAACCAGGATTGAACTCAGGGCTATCTGAGCTCCACAGCATCCATGCAGCTACTTCCTCTCCTCCCATGGGAACTAATTCTGCCCTCAGAACTCACCCTCAGTGAGTGAATCCCTCTTCAGCGATTTGACAATGATATTTGTAGAGCTACCCATGCCT